CACGCTTCAGTCTCTGGGACCTCCAGGCCAGGATCGACACTCTGGCACGACGGTTGTCGCGCACCTGGGGGTCCCCCATCATGACCAGCCACCCTCCCTGGGCCCCATTGTTCTTGGCCGAGCCGGGCCCTCCCGCATCCGAGCAAGTCACCATGGTGACCGAGGAAAGGTCCAGGGGCCAGATGGTGATGTGCACTTTGGCCGTGCTCCTCAAGTATCTAGTCACCTTATTGGCTAGAAGAAAATGCTTGACTCGAACGTGAGGACACTCTGAGGCGAGAAGGGAAGCTGAGCCTGAAACCTCAGGTCGAGACTGTCTCGCAGTCCACTGAAGCTTGGCGACGATCCCTCGATAGTCGCGCAATTCCTGTGGGGTCAGAAAGTCTTCGGGGCAGGCTGAACGGTCCCGGGACACCTTGACGGGATGCACTTGCTCGAGAACGTACTTCTCCTGATCGATGAGAATTCTGCCGTCTGGAAGCTGGCGAATGCGCCTGCCCGCGTATTCGGCTTCTCGCTCCTGCCACTTGCCAAAGTGGAAGCGAGCCATCAGAGACTGCTTCAACTCGGCCTCGTACGCAGGCTCACTCCCCAGGACCAGATCATCCACTTCGATGACCACCAGAGCCCGCAGGGCCCCGTCAGTGCGATACTTGCGCCAGACACAAGGCTCGAGCAGGCAACGCCGAAACCCAAGAGAGAACAGGTGGGAGGTGAGCGTCTCGTGCCAACGAATCGGGGCGTCGTTGAGCCCGTAAACGGGCGAGACGAGCTCGATGAGGCTGCCTCGAGGCAACTCCAGACCGTCGCACGGCTCGCAGTACACCTTGCCGGCGGGCCTCGTGAGAGGGTCCGCCTGGCAGAAGGCATTCTTCGCATCCGCGAAGAACACCTTCCACCGCTTCCCGGCAATCACTTGAAGGGCCACGGCTATGGACTCCTCTTGGGGGGTGGGGGCGTAAACGGCCAGGCTCTCGGCGTCGGGGTCGCCGTATCCCCGAACGCACCAGCGAGACTTGGGGATGGGGAGAGTCTCAGTCCCCTCCTGAGGCTTCCAGCGGCGCACCATCCTGGAGGAAAGGATGCGCGACGGCGAGTGCCGACGAACGAGATTCGCCAGCTCGGGGGAAAGAATCCGAACGGCCTTGGAGTCTAAGATGGCTCGCCACTCCTTCGCGTCTGAGGCCTTGAACTGATCACGTTCCTGCTGAGACAGCTTGCTCCAGACGACTTCCTGGCCTCTCTTGCTTTCGCCGCTTCCTGGCCCTCCGCCGGCCATACCGGTGGCCCACACGCCGTCTCCCCAGGATTCGGCTTCGCCAAACAGCTCATGCCAAAGGGACAAATCCTGCTCATCGATTTCGCCGAACTCCAGGTCCTCGCTCGTCGGGGGACCAAGACACAGATAGTAGGAATCCTCCTGACTGCCCTCCTCATCTGACTGTACTGCGAGAGTGTCGGGCGCCGGAGCCGGCCCGCCGGGTCTGTCTCCCTGCTCCCAGCGCCGGATCCTCTCGGCGACTGAAGAGTCCGCCAGCTCCTCAGTGGGAGCTCGTCCGCCGGCCCCCCCGGCGGGGGCGTGTCCACCGGCCCCTTCGTAGGGCCCCCTGGCTCGCGCAGCTCTCGGCACTGAAACGGAACGCAGCGGCTTGCCTCTCCACACGACCACCCTGGGCTGGCTCTCGACGTCCTCGCGAACAGGACTCAAGCCACGTCGCCTGGAAAGGGGCGGCTCACTCTCGGCAGCTGGAGCCTCTCGGGGGAGCTTGACTCGATCAGAGCTCTCGGACTCTTGCCGCATCAGAGTCTCCGCTTGATCCGTCACCGAGGGGGGACCGGAGGCGGCGCCCTCCCTAGGGCAAGAGGAAGGAGCAGTGGGCGGGTAAGAAGGCGGCGAAGCCTCCGGACGCCCTCCGAAGCCCGCGGGTCCGACCGACGGGGTCCGCGGAAGGTCGGCGCCGTCTCCGCTCGGCCCGAGGCCCTCGGCGTGTGGAAGATCCGAGACCGACCGCCCTCCGCCCACGTCAGAAGCCGGCCGAGACGGATCCAGGGAGCGACATTCGCTCGCTGACGGGGGTGGCACAAGAACGGGGTCTGGCGACTGCGGCGCAGACTCGGGAGGAGAGTCCCAGGCCTCCTCGGGGGGGGCCCCCTCGCTCTCGACGTCGAGCGCTCCCACCTTGCGGCCGGGGTCCCTCACCTGCTCTCGCAAATCACGAAATTCGGGACTGTCGACCAGTTCCGCCCCGAGAGATTCGGCGCGAGTGGCCTCCCTCACCTGCTCCACACTGCACTTCCACAGCTTGGCGCGCATCGCCACCCACACCGTGGACCCTCGATGGGTCACGACGGCCCCGGGACCCACCCATCGATCTCTCTGGATCGAATGGGTCTTCAAACCCACCGCTTTTCGCCAAACGAAGACCCATTGCCCCGGGAGAAAGACCCGGTCCACGTGTTGACGCGAACGTGCAGCCTCCTTGAGCCGCGACTGGGCCTCACCGGCCATCAGGGCCTTGCGAGCCTCTTCTCGAATGCGATGCTTGCGAGCGAAGTTGCCTGCCACCGTATCCCGGCCGTCAACGTCAGCCTGGACGTCCTCCGTCCCGATGGCGTCCATGCCGTCGTCACTTAGCATGGCCCTGGGCAGCCTGGGATTCTCTCCCAGCACCAGCTGATATGGCGAGAAACCCGACCTGTGGAAGTATCTGTTCTTGGCGGACACGGTTTCACACAAGATCAGATCGACCTCCTCTGGCGTAGTCGGATTCACGATCAGCGAGGCGCGAGCGACCGACTCCTTGATCCACCCCCCGTGACGCTCGCACCTCCCGTTCTGCCACGGGCTCGTGGCGTCGCAGACGTGCTGGAAACACCCGAGGTGTTCACAGCCTCGCTCGAAGGCTCCTTGGAATTCGGGGCCTCCGTCGCTCATGACGACCTCCGGAGGTCCGAAGACTCGAATCCAGGTCTTTTCGAACGCCGCCCAGACTTTGGCAGACGAGGTACCGCGATGCATGGGCAGAACGTAGCATTGCTGGACAATCGTGCCGTGATCGAGCACGTTAAGCACCGGAACCTGGGAGCCCAAGACGCTCAGGTAGAACAGGTCCACAGCAACCAGACGGTTGAAGTGGTACGTGCGTGGAACCGCGGCTTGTCGTTTCCAGGAGGGTTTCTTGTTGCCTTCGCAGGCCTCACACTTGAACTCCCGACGCACGTAATCGATGATGGCGGGCAGTGCTCTGGCCACAGTGAGCAGCCGGACAAACGCATCTCGAGGCGGGTGCCCCATGTTGACATGCACTTTCAAAACCTGGCTCCTCTGCTCTCGGCTGAGAGACGAGCCGACTGCCTCAGCCTCCACCTCTTCTCCTGCCGGCCGGCCGCTCTCCTCCTCCTCCTCAGCCTCCTCATCCTCCTGGGCCTCAGCCTCAGCCAAGGGATCCGCGGGCTCCGACGCGATCGCCCCGACGAGGCCGGGGAGGTCCGTCTCGACTCCGGGGTCGAGGATCCAGTCGACCTCTGGTTCGAGAACCTCCGAGTGACCGAGCGCACGGGCGTGAGCTGTCTCGAGGATGCCCTCGCACATAGCCCACGCCAAGGGAGGCGGATACACTTGCGCCTTCCGGGTGTTGGAGCCTCCTACGAGCTGATGATGGGTGTGGTCCCCGGGGCACTTGCGAAGGAGGGGGGCCAGCAGCGACGGCCGATTGCACAGGAAACGGGTGGGCTTTCGGTTGGGCCCCTGACCGCCCACGTCGAGACCGTACTGACACTGGTCACATTCTCCTGCGACCACCCCTGGAAGCTGGCTGAGAATGCGCACCGACTCCAGCTCCCAAGAACTCGCTCCCCGGGGGTGCTCCAACAAGAACGCTCTGCCGCAAGCGGCCTGGATCAGAGCAATCTTCACGCAGAAGTGCATGAAGGTTACTCCTTTCCTCTCGGACTCTTCTCTGCGTTCGGGGGACATCCTTGACCAGGCCGACTGGCGAGGGGCAGAAAACGCTTTGCACTCGGGGCTCATCACGACGACCTCTGGGCGATCTCGCCTGACGGCCCTCTCGGCCGCGGCTCTACCCTTCTCGGAGTACAGATCCCAGCCGGTGCTGAGGTCCATACTCGCCGAGGTCGCGAAGCCCCTCTCACGAAGCTCTTTACATACCCAGGGAGGTGAGAAAAGCTCCATGGCCAGAGTGCGCCCCTCCTTCCTCAACCACTGCAGAATTCGCCTCTTTCGAGCCTTGCGTCCCTGCTCTCGTCCAGAGCCGCCCAGCAGCTTTCCGGTGGCTTCACGAACCTCCCTCGGAACTGAACAACCCCGACTGAGGTCGTGGTCGACGTTGGATCGACTGGGACGTGGAAGGACCCTAGAGACAGAAGATCCTGAAAGGAGTTGAACCCCTCCGGTCCGGTCCAGGCCTCGATGGTCAGGTGGTCGCTAGCCGTGTTGCTCAGGATGGTCTGTAACTGGGCTGGCGCGAGGTCTGGAGTGAGGGAGTCAAGAATGGGGGTGCCCTCATCGAGAAACTTCAAACGAGCGTACTTGCTCACTCTATCCCGAAAAGCTCGACCCCCGCTGTCTCGGTCGGACCCCTGAGTCCCAGGTCCCGTTCCCCGGACCAGGTGTATCGCAGCATCAGCCAGCACTCCGACCTTCTCGCTTTCTTCCAGGATCGATCGAGTCCAACCGCGATCACTCGAGATCTGATCGAGATCGACCGAACACCCTTTACTGTCGTCCCACCAGGCGGCGCGAGACGCAAAACAGAAGTTGAGATGGGCGGACCTACTGGCGGCCAGGGCCGACCTCCACACCAGATTTCTGCCCTGCTCCCCGGTCCCGTTGGTCCTCCTGAGGGTCCCCCTCCCCACTGGTTTCAGGTTTCCCCCGAGTCCTTCCCCCACCTCTAGAGCGCCTGTGGAGGCGGTCGCGTCCGGCGAACTCAGCGACCGCGGCTCGAGCTGCTGCTGCTGCTCGCCAGCATCTTCACGGCCTCCGCCATCTGCTGCAGCACCTGGTTGTTCTCCCGCAGCGCACGGGCGATCTCCGCGTTCTCCACCGTCTTCGAGGCCTCCTCCACCGTCTCGAACTCCGGCTTCTTCTTCTTGAGAACCTCCTTGATGTAGACCAGCTCCGGCTTGATCGTCAGCGGCGTGGACTCCACCCTCGCCTGGTTGCGGTCCCCGTGCTCGTTGCGCCGCTGCTGCGCACGATTCAGGACGTCGATCTGCTCCGTCCGGCTGCGGCGCTCGATCCACAGCCTTGACTTGCACTTGCGGCAGTGCTCGTACTTCGCGTACTGGTTGGCTCCCTTCAGCCTCGCCCACTGCGGATGGTCGCACTCCAAGGCTGCTTGTGGTACCATCTCGCCCACGAGGAGGTTGGCCGCCATCATGGCCATCCTGGCCCCCATCGTGTACACCAGGCGTCCGACCACGCGATGCCAAGCCGCCAGAGTAGGGCTTCTCTTGACCTGGCCCGCGGTCTCCTTCGTGTCCTGCTCCTGGTCGCTCTCGTCCGTCATCATGCCCACTGCCTCCCACTCCGGTGAACTCTCCAGGTGAGAGCTGGGTCCGCTGGGCTCCTGCGAGCCCGCCTTGTTCCTCTTCGCCTTGCTGATCGCCCTCTGGCGCACCTGGTGTGCGCGGACCTCCTTCGCGAATGACGACCCCTTGACGTGCTGGATCGCCATCTTCTTGACCGGCGCCGATCGCGTCGGGCTTCCCTCCTGCACTGGCGATGCCTCCGCTGGCCCCGCTGAGCCCGACGATGCCATCGCTTGAATCGAACTTGAATGAGTCGTGAGGCGGCCCGCAGGCCTCGGTAGCCACCTGACTGCTGAACCCGCGGGCAGCGTTGTTGGTCTCGAGCACGAAGGCTGCGGACAAGTCTGTTCCCTTCGCCTCTTCCGGGTGGACTCCGGACGGGGCTCTCTCTTCTTCGCCAGTTTCTGGAGCAGCCTCCTCGACCTCCTCCGCCTCCTGATCTGCCTCCTCGATCTCCTCCGCCGCCTGCCTCTCTAGCTCTGTCCTCCTGGCTCGCCCGGGAGATGCTTCCTGAGAGACCTGGCCCGTCCCCTGGACCCGGGCCCCGACCCCCAGGACGTCGTCCCCAGGCCTCCCCGGGACCGCCGAGCCCCAGACCTGACGTCGATCGGCCGAGATTTCTAAAAAATCGACACAACCTACAAATCTTATAACTCTTGAGGGGGTGGAGGTGAGCGAGGAGCGGAAAGGGGCTGTATATGCGCAAAAATCCTTGGCCTCGAGACCGGGCCAGTCCTCGGCAGCCGACGCGTCCACCTCAAAACGGTGAGGGGGAAGACTGCCGAGCAGGCTCATGATGCGGTGCCCCGAGCTCTCACGGTGCATCGGCAGCGTCACGTCGTCCAGCTGGATGCGGTCGCGCTCCAGGTCGATCTTCGCTCCCACGGACTCCAGCCACTTCACCGGCAGCAGCAGGGGAACCTCGCCAGAGAAGATCTTGAACTGGATCAGCACGCACTTGTTCGGGATCGCGGTGATCGGGATGAGGGCTTCCCCGATGATGTCCGCACTGCCTCCGACTCCGCGAGCCTTCTTCGGCTGCGGACTCCGCCTGATGGGAATGCGCCATCCCTGCTTAGCATAGTCATTCACGAGGCGCTCGAGCCGCTTGTCACCCACCAGCGCCTGGCCAGCAGCCGTATCGACCATGCCGGAGGGCTCCATGTCCTCATGTAGCAGCCACGAGTCAGGGATCCCCCTCATCGAGCCGCACAGCCTCTGGATCACCTCTGGCCCGAGGGTCAACCACGTCGCTGCCGAGGGACCGTCCGTCGTCACGTACATCGTTCGACCTCCTGGCTTGGCCTCGGCCTTGGGCTTGGGCCGGTATGCATTCGTACATTCACGCCTCCAGTGTCCGCGTTGCCCACAGTTCGCGCAGCGAGTGCGCGCCTTGAGCTTCTCGATGCTCAGCTTCTGCTTTCCGGCTCCTACACGAGGAGCTGGCTTCTTCCCGGCCCGCTTGCTGTCGAAGAACTCCCGGTCCCTCGCCATCGCTCGCTTCAGGTCTTTCGCCTCAGCCCACCGCCTCGGACGACCTTCCTTCTCGCGCTTCTCGTCCAGCACGGCCGCGACGACGCTCGCCAGCTGCTCCTCGTCGAGGTCCTGGGACTCCACCGCCGCGTACACCGCCTCGGCGTCGACGATGTCCAGGATGGAGTCCTCCCAGAACTCGACGAGCACGAGGTCGGACATGTCGTCGTCCTCGCCGTAGTCGTCCTCCTCGTCGGCCGCCGCGAAGGTCTTGCCCTGCCTCCGAGTGGCGTCTGGCTTGCGTCGCACATCCATCCTCATGAGAGCCTTCTTCACCGAGTCCAGATCCTCGCGGCCCTGTGAGATGGACAACAAGTTTATCATGTTCTGTTCGCTTAGCCGAGCTCCTGCCTTCAGTTGCTCAACCTGAACCTTCTCTGGGAGGTCCAGGCCGAACTTGCGTGCTTCTCGCACCTCCATGTCTCTGCGAATGACGAACTGAGTCAGGGTTTCGCCACTACGCATTTCCGTATTCTCCAGCGCTCGCTCGAAGGCCTTCTTGGACTTGTCGTCCTCTCGGTCTCCTCGAGCCTGCTTCAGGTAGCTTAACAGCACCTCCAGGCCTCCAGGACAGTCCAGGTCCTCTTGGATGTGCATCAGCTTCTCCTGGAGTTCGACTGGAAGCTCATCCACAACTCGACCGGCCTGGGCTTCTGAGGAAAGCGCCGTCCTCCTCGACCACCTCTGAATGCTCAGCACCCACGTGTCGAGCCGGTCGAAGCCCTGCCACTGCTGCGGGCCCTGGTTGTCGCCACGATGAAAGCCCCCGGCTGGCGCCGGCGGAGGCGGATGCCAGGAAGCCGCAGCCGATGCCCCGCCCCAGGGCTGCGCCGCCGAGGCCGCGCTCGCCGCCTCGGCCGCCGGAGCCGCCGCGGCCGGCGCAGTGCCTGCAGGCTCCGCCGGCGGTGCCCGTGGCGCCGCTGTTCCGGCCGACTGCGCGGGCGGCGCAGCTGGCGCCGGTGCTGCCGGCGGCGCGGGCGGCTCGAACGTCTGGGTAGCCGCCTCCTGCGCCGCGGCCGCCTGTGACCCCGCCGTCGCCCAGGTCGTCGGCGCTCCCCACCGCGGGAGCGGGGGGGCCTGCGGGGCGCTCTCGGCCCACGCTCTCGTCTCCTCGCTGCCTGGCCACAGGGTAGCGTACGTACCAGCTGCTGCGCTGGCGGTCGCGTCAGCAGCCGCGCCGGCGGTGCCAGCGGCTGCGCTGGCTGACGCGTCGGCAGTCGCGCCGGCGGACGCCCTGCCCTGGGCCCAGGGATCACTATCTTCTCGCTGCCATGGATTTGGTCGGCTCCAGTCCTGCCAGCCTTGCCAGCCGTCCCACCAGCCGTGCCATGAACGGCTCCCTCCGGAGCGACTCCAGTCGTCCCTTGACTGAGATGTCGCCTCGCCGCCGTTCTCTGGCTGTGCTGCCGCCTCGCCGCTCTGAACCTCTTCTGGCATGGGCGCTGGGCCCTCGTCCCCGGGGTGGTGTGGCGCGCGGCCAGCTGCCGGGGGCTCCTCCTCTCTCTCTCCGTCTCGCGCTCCTCCTGCCCGTCCGGGATCACTCTCAGGACCAGCTCCGCTTACCATTGTTCGCTGAGCATCGGAACCACGATGATCGAGTTGGGGGCTAGGAAGGATGTGGGGGAACGAGAGAAAACGAGGGGAGCACCCTTTTGCTCACACACACGCACTTGAGCCGCAACAGTTGCGGGCACGGCAACTATAGCAATAGCAGGCCGTGCACAATGAGCTCAGAGGGTGAAGTGCTGAGGATATGTACGACAGGGACATCCTCTAAAAAATGAAGTTGGCGTTGGCTCCAGGCCGCCTTTGTGTTCAGATCGCTCTTGGAGCGCCCAAGAGGGTCCCCAGAAGGCCACAGGACGGCTCCAGGGGGCCCGCATGACGGCCCCAGAGGCCTCCAAGAGCACCCCCAAGAGGGCCCAAGATGCCAAAATCGTCAAATCCCTATCGGAAAACCCATATTTTTAGTATATACGACTTTCTCGTCTTCACGACGTCGAAGATGGTCCAAGAGTCCCCCAAGACCGACCCGCGACGGCCCAAGAGACTCTCAAGAGGCGCCCAAGACGGCCGAAGAGGGCGCCAAGACGGCCCAAGAGGCTCCCAAGAAGGCCCACGAGGGCCCCAAGAGGGGCCCAAGAGGGTGAGCCCGAATCGAAAATCGGAGCACCCCGCCCAAGGACGGCCCTAGGAGGCCCCAGGAGGCGCCCAAGAGGTCCCAAGAGGCCCCCGAGAGGCCCCCAAGACGCCCCAAAATACCCCCAAGAGGCCCAAAAGAGGCCCCAAGAGGACCCGAAACTGCCTGCGAGAAGCCTCCCAAGAGAGCCCAACGAACTTTCACTTCGTCTCATTCTCAATGCCCCGGCACGGTGGCGGGATGGACCGAGGGTCACTAGATATTCCATCTCCTTATCCCGAATTCGGATTACACAGCCCCAAGACAGCTCAAGAGGGCCCGAAAACGGCGCCAGAGGGATCCAAGAGGGATTCATGTTACAGGCTTCTTGGACCGTCTTGGGGTTATCGCCGGTCGTATTCAAAATATAATGGGCCGTCTTGGAGCATCTTGGAGTGGCCGGAGACGGCCGGAGGCATCCTGGGAATTCCTGTGAGGGGTGAGGGATCTAGTCCGTTTGACCAGATCCCCCCCCCCTGCAAGCCAGCCGGACCGAACCCCAAGGGGACGGCGGATAGCTCGGGATCTTGAAGGTGGACGCGGGGGCCGCGTGGTAACTGACCGCTTGCGCACAATACAAGTAATAGCGGTCCCAGGGCGTGAGTCTGGCTGCTTTTCTGTGGGTCCTGGTCGCCGAGGCATGAACCCAGAGTACTTTGCAATGGGTCGTGGCCTCGGCGGCGCGTATCGCGTGTACTTTACTACGAGGGATCTGCGCCTCGGGAGCGCGAGCGTCGTATATTTTCGAGGGATCCTTGACACTCGGGCACCGCGCAGTCCCCTCCTGTTCGCACAAGCGTTCCAGTTTTGACGTCCCCATGTGATGCCACACCTGCAACGAACGTTCGAACATTCGCTTCCCGTTCTTGTCAGGTCAGGTTTCCAGGAAGCTTTTCGAAACGCCGTGCCAGGAGCACCTAGGAGGGGCCATCTCCAGGCCTTCTCGAGGCCTTCTTGGAGCCCACTTGCCCGGATGGCGTCAGGAGGGCCCCGAGAAGGCTCGAGAGGGCCCAGCAGGAGCCTGAAGTTGTCATTTGCAGCGCCCGTGAAAGTGACAATTCCCAGGGCTCTCTTGAGGCACTCCTTGGGGCCCTCCGGAGGCCATGCTGGCTACTCCCAGAAACGATATCGTTCAATGGCTTCCGCAGGCGCGCCCCTTGGAAGGGCAATCCCAGATTTTTACCGCGAGGGCGTGGATTGGGGAAGGTGGCGCGACCTGGCGTTGCAAACCTTAGCTCAGTTCGTTCGCGCGCGCTCGAAGCACGTTTTTGTCCAGCCAGCATGTTTTGTCATCGGTGTATACTAGAATCCGTGTATACTTAATTCCATGGGCTTCTGTCAGTTTGCAGTATGCACCAATCTTTCGTTTGGGTAGGTCATTCCATTTTTTCCAGCCAGGCGGCCCACGCGGAAACGGCCGTCGTCAACGCCAGATCCAGCCCATGCCCAGCGGGTAGGGACGCCTCCCCCTACATTGGGCCGTCTGGAAACCTTTGCGTGTTTCTCGGGGCCTTCCAGAGTTTCCTCGGGACTTCGGGAGAGCCTCAGGAGGGCCCCGAGAAGGTTTGCAAGGGCCCTGGGAGGCACCTTGGAGTTGTCACTTTGGGCGCCCGTGGAAGCGGCAACTCCCAGGCCTCTCTTGAGGCCCTCTCGGGGCCACTGGACGCGCCTCGGGGGCCTGTGGAATTCCTCGAAGGAGGGCCAACAGAGTTTCGAAACAACGCGATGTCTTCACACGCTTCGCTCGTACATCGGATTGGGGCTTTTTTTTAGGTGCGATCTGGAATAGATGATGGGGGTTGGCACAGACAGTCCCTCGTGCGTAGGGGTCACTGTAACAATCGCTGCCCCCCGTGCGTGAGAGGAGGGGTTGTAGCCAAAATTGCCTCTCGTGCTCGAGCGGGGATTGTAGCATCAGTTGTCTCCGGTGCGCGCGAGGCGATGTAACAAAACGGTCCATCGTGCATGAGGGGGGCATTGTAGCAATACTTGTTCCTCTTTCATGAGGGAGGGCTCCAGCGAAACCAGTATCTTGTGCATGCTTGGGGAAGGCTGTAACAAAAGCCGTCCGCCGCGAATGAGGGGGGGGGCTACGGCAACAAAAACGTCTCTTGGGTGTGAGGGTCCACAGCAAACATGCCTCTTGTTCACGGAGGGTGGACTGTAGCAAAAGTAGACCCTCGTACATGAGGGTCCTCGTTGTGAATTTGCACTCTCTGTCACGAGGTGGATTGCAGCGAAACTGGTCTTTGCACATGGGTGGGATTGTAGTAAGGACGTCTCCTCGTGCATGGGGTACTAGATCGGCACATAGAACACCATTCCTCGTGCATGAGGAGGATCGCAGCAAGAGATCTTCGTACGTTGGACGGCATGTCAAAACATGGCTCCTTTGTCTAGCATTGGGATTTTAGCGACATTGCCTTGTGTGCGTGCGGGGATCGTAGCAACAGCGTTCCCCTCGTGCGTGAGGGGTGAATGTAGCAAAAACGGCCCGTCGTGCATGAGCGAAACAGGGTACCTTGGATGGGATGATAGCTGGAGGGGGGGTAATTCATGAAGCCCTGTCGGAAATCTATCCCGGCCTTGGGAGGCCTTTCATGGGGCCCTTCCGGGCCGTTCTAACAACCCCAAGAGGCCCCCCAGAGGGGACTAAAAGTAATCGTTTCGAACTCCACGCCTTGAAGTTGGACCAGAGGCTCACCAGGGCCCCTCTTGGAACCCCCTTGTAGCTCTCTTGGGGCGCTCCGGGACCGCCTTCGAAGTTCCGAGCGCCCCCCAATTAGGCATTTGAAGGTATCGTTTCGAATTTCACGATGTGGAGTTGGACAAAGGGCTCAGTGGGACCCCTTTTGAAACCATTTGGGGCTCTCTCGGGGCCCTCTTGGGAGCCGCTGGGGCCTTGTTAGGGCCCCAAGTCGCCCCCAAGAAGGCACAGGAAGTTGTCGCGTCGAATGCACCCGCGGCCGCCTCCTCGGTGGAGTAAGGTATACATTTGGGCGACAGGATGGCCACGCGCATGTCCCGATTTCGCGCGTCGAGCAAACGAACAAAACACAGCTTCTGTGGTGAGGCGAGATGGGGGGCGCCCACAGGATCTTTGCTTCGAGGGTTTTCTGGCACACGTCATCGGTGCATGCTTGCAAGCTTCCTGGAGTTGGCTGGGGGCAACCCTGGGTTGCCAACGGCTTGAAGCGGAGGCCATCGGAACAACAACAACAACCATTCAAAGACTGTTCGCTCCTACCGGCCCGCGTGTCATTCACTATGCATATCCCAAACCCTGGATACCCGCCCTCTTTGTCTTCGATCGTACCCCCTTGTGGGGGTTATATTCCTTCCTGGCCACGTGTACTTCGAGAAGCCCCTAAACAGGGAAACGTTAGGGAAAAGACAGAAAGAGAGGACGAAGGGATCGGAGGAAGGGAGGGGTTAGTGGGGCAAGAGGGAGGGACGACGATGCTTTGAGCCGCCAGTTGCGATTCAGCTTGCGCCATGGCTTGCGCCAGCCATTCCAACTCAGGTTAACAAAGGCTTCGCCATGGGTCGTGCCGTAAACAGCGCCATGTAACACTTCTGGTGCTGCCAGGGGCACAGTTTGGCCCGGATGATTATCCTTGGCAAATAAACAGGGTGCGAGCGTCGAAGGGCGCATTTTGACTGAGAGATGGGCAGCGTGGTGGGGCCTCTGTGGGCGCATTCGGGGCCTCTGTGGGCTGCGTCTGGGGCCTCAGTGGGCAGCGTGGTGGGGCCTCTGTGGGCGCGTTCGGGGCCTCTGTGGGCTGCGTCTGGGGCCTCAGTGGGCAGCGTGGTGGGGCCTCTGTGGGCGCGTTCGGGGCTTCTGTGGGCTGCGTCCGGGGCTTCGGCGGGCAGCGCGGTGGGACCTCTGCGGGCACTGACGGGGCCTCAGTGGGCGCGTTCGGGGCCTCTGTGGGCTGCTTCATGGGCCTCATTGACCAGCGGGATGGGGCCTTTGTGGGCGCGTTCGGGGCCTTTGTGGGCTCGGTTTGGGGCTTCAGTGGGCAGCGTGGTGGGGACTCTGTGGGCGTGTTCGGGGCTTCCGTGGGCTGCGCCGAGGGCTTCAGTGGGCAGCGTGGCGGGGCCTCCGTGGGCGCGTTCGGGGCCTCTGTGGGCTGGGTTTCGGGCATGAGTGGGTGTTTTGGTGGGACCTTTGTGGGCGCTTTCGGGGCCTCTGTGGGCTGCGGCAGGGGCCTCTGTGGGCGGGGCCTCACTGTGCGCGTCTGAGGCGGGAGCCGTT